GAGTAAGGATCGAGGCCAAGCCTCAAAAGCGGCAGTTTGACAGTTGATCTTCATCAGCGGCAGTTCACCATCTTGTCAGTTCAGATGGCTCGCACCAAGAACGTTGGTGGTGGCCTCAGTGATGATGATCGAGGCCCCGCCTCGCCCAACCCGGATCTAAGGGCAAGTCAACCAAGCGGTGACATCCAAGAAGCGTACCCCGATGCGAGACAAGCAAGAGCGGCATTATTGCGGAGAGCCAGAGCAGAGCGTGCCGAGAGAGGTGGTGCCCAGCAGCGGAGTTGTCATTGCAGACGCCCCGGCCACCACGCAGTCGAGGAGGTTGAGCGTCATCACGATAGAGTCCAAATAGGACTGCCATGTTTGCGAGGCAACAGGGTTGCCATTGAGGAGGGTCCGTCGACAAAGAAGCAAATTTCCCACAAGCGAGCCTCAGCAGACCAGGGGAGGCCGAGGAGACAGAGCCGACACCCCAGCTTCGCCGCTCTGGACGGACCCGTGTACCAGTCTCGCCGAGGCCACCGACACAGCGGAGGGGATCACGTCCTCCACCTAGACCACAGGGTTCACCTCCAGTGGTACACCTTGACTTGAGGGCCGCTACCGCCAGGCAGGTTCGGCAGCTGCGTTTTGTTGAGTTTGAGGTTTGGTTTCCTCTAAGGAGGGATGAGAGAGCAGCTGAGGGTTTCTACACGCCACTGCAGGAGGATTTCTACAATGCTTATCTCAACAGTGGGGTAGTGTTCATATCTCAGAGAGATTGTCAGATAGAGTCTATTGTGGCAACAGCTGGAGAGAGCATTCGGCCATACTTGTCATATTTGCCAGGACTGACAGATTTGATTGGACGGACAGGGATATATGTACCATCTTGGGTTCGTCAGTTTTATGCTTCACTCTTCATCGATCCACATCACAGGTTTATTCACTTTGCTTTTAGAGGCAAAGACTACAGAGTGACGAGTGGTAGGGTCAGGGAGATACTGAGGCAACAGGAGCAGCCTATCAAGATACATGAGGTCTGTTATGGACAGCAGGAGCCTCCCAGGCGTCCACATGGAGGGTTGGTGCCTCCTACAGATTTAGTGCGACATTGCTTCAAGGAGCCTTTTGGAGAGGGGTCGAGCAGGAACCCCAGTGACTTGACTCCTACAGCGAGAGTGCTAGAGGCCATTATCAGGAGGACACTGCTTCCCAGGTTGGGATATAGAGAGGGTCTGACTCGCTTACAGCTCTGGCTTCTTAATGCTCTGATGCAGCAGATAGTATTTGATATCTGGGACCTCCTTCTTTCAGAGATGGAGGATACTATAGCTGAGGGATTCAAGGGTCGCAGGCAGCTTCCCTATGCTCACTGGATCACGTTTCTTATCCATAGAGTAGTGCTTGATAAGCCCCCTGGTATGATGGATGAGTATACAGGTGCCACCACAGAGTTCCCAGCTTACAACCTGTCATAGAGGATTAGACATACCACGCCTCAGGCACCCAGACAGCCTAGCCGTCGTCCTGACGTGCCAGAGTCCACAGCTCAGCAGGATGAGATCATCAGAGGGATTGCAGCCACTGAGGAGGAGGAGCTAGAGGCATAGCAGGAGGTGAGCGAGTACAGTGACAGCTCTGACGATGACTATCTGCCTATTCCTCAGATGCCTCCACGCAAACACGATGTAGAGGCCGGTAGCTCCAGTTCTACTCCACCTGCTCCGCGAGCAGCACCCGCTCTCATTGCTATTCTTGAGCGGATGCACGGCAGACCACAGATAGATAAAGCGAGCCACAGAGGCATTTGCTACTTTTGCCTAGTTTCAGACTTCGACAGATTTGAGTTCCAGAGGCAGGCGTGAAGAGCCATGCAGATGCAAAACAACAGCGAGATACTCTTACAACAAAGAAATTTATGGGTTTCATGTAGCATGTAGTGACAGCTCTTGGGGCCCCACAGACCACGAACTTCCCCACTTGCTCACTGCTTCCCACCACGACGACTTCAAATATACTGACCCAAATGGGCTTGGTCGTCGAGGGCAGCCTCCAGCTCAATTTGCTTCACCTCTTGTACAGTGTGTCCCAGTGGTTGGCCACATCCGTGGTAGCCCACATTCACTCCACTTGAGGCGGGCTTCACACCGAGGCAGTCCTCCTCGCTATTCGTGCTCGACACGTCCGGTCTCGAGAGTCTTGGAGCATCCTTCAATGAGTTGACCAAGCATGCCTACTCCGCCTCATATGCATACTTTGTCGGTCCGTCTCACAGTAGCCCGATCATTGTGACTACTCAGAGGCTCCCCTAAATGTCATGTCGCCTCGTCGAGATCCTCACGACAGACATACTAGCAGCTTTCACACAGCAAAGCACCAGCCCTAGCTCGACCCAGACACTTGGCTTGACACACTTCCCGCCACAGAGGGTCGGTCGATTCGAGCTCGAGGTCGATGATGATGGTGCCTAGTGCCACTTGCCCCACGTTCTTGACCCCGACTCATCCGCTGCTTGCCCACTTGACCGAAACCCCTAGGTTTTGGTGTTTGGCGCCAAAGGGAGAGGGTGTTCAGTATGTAGTCTCGTGGGGAGCTACATTTAGGGGAGCTAGTTATCTAGTGTTAGCCTATTATATACATTTGGAGTTCTATTTGTGTGATACACTATTACTTATGCATTATTCTGTGTTTACTTTCATGCATACTATTATATATATGTGGTAGTGCTATCTACGTGATTGTGAAATATGACATGTGTGCTTTCTACTTTGCATTATTTAAATGTCATATCACTTGTGTTATGCTCATTTGCTTTTGCTTCCGCGTTTAAACTTCGAAGCAAATGAGCTTTGTTATTTGTACTCATGCTTAATTAATATCCTTTGAGTACATTGTGTTGGCTTGGGTCATATAAGCTTGACTAACACTTTTGTTCTTATCGACAAAAGCTTATATGAACCAAGTCCGTCAAAAAACCTCACTCTTTCACATACTCGAGGTGGTATTGTCATCAATCACCAAAAAGGGGGAGATTGAAAGCATCTAGGCCCCTAGTTGGATTTCAGTGATTAATGTCAATACAAGATTACTATGACTAACGTGTGTTTTGCAGAGGCATGTAAAGTTAGGTCATGGTAATGGAGATCGATTGGGCAATCGAGGTTGTCATGCCCCTACGATGGAAATCGTTTCGGTTTTCAAAGGATTAACGACAAGGTTAAGGATAACTAGTTCTAAGTGTCGATTGGAGTTGGAGAGATATTTAGAATAGTTTAGGACTTTGTTTTTCCTTTGGCCGTACTATTAAGGGGGGTATGAACGGGTAGCTTGACCTAGTTGAGTCTAGTGAGTTAGGTGTGGTGCACACTTGTTAAAACTAGCTCTAGGTAGCTCCTATGAATGCCTAAGATCCTTTGGAGCAAACTTCATTCTCATATGATCGAGAGTTGGAAGTGAATGGAGGGTCAAATACTGACCGGACGCTGGCTCCGGTGCGACCAGACGCTGGCCGCAGGGTCCGGTCAGTTCATTTGACCGAGGAGAACAAGTCTGGTGTGACCGGACGCTGAGGGCCAGCGTCCGGTCAACTCCAGTAAGGGTCCTGACTTGAGAAAGTGTGACCGGACGCGTCCGGTCAGTGGTGACCGGACCACAGTATCCAGTCGTCCGGTCGATTCTGATGAAGCATCCAAGAGCGATCGGGCGGCGTCCGGTCGAGATCGACCGAACCACAACGGCGTCCGGTCATCACTTGGAAATCAAGCTATGGGATTGAATCGGACCAGAGGCCCGGTCAATACGATCGGGCGTCCGGTCATCCCGCGAAGCTCATAACGGTTCATTTTTCAGTCCTTTATAAATAGAAGCTCCACTCATGTGTGGAGTTACTTTTGCTCATTCCAACAATTTGAGAAACACGTTTGTGAGTGTCAAGAAGAGCAAGGTCCTAGTGAGGTGTTTGTGATTTGAGAATCCAAGAGTGAAACCTCATTAGTGAATCAAGAGTAGACAAGTATGCATCCATCTTCTCATTAGGCTTCGCGTGGTCAAGTGAGAGTTCGTGCTTGTTACTCTTGATGATCGCCATCACCTAGAAGGCTTGGTGGTGATTGGGAGCTTGGTGATCACCCATGGAGCTTGTGGGTGACCCAACTCAAGTTGTGGCGGTTTTGGGTGATTCGCCCATGACGGAGTGTCAAGAATCAACAACCAGAGAGAGCACTTGATCCTTGCGCGGATCAAGGGGGAGCTACACCCTTGCGCGGGTGCTCCAACGAGGACTAGTGGAGAGTGGCGACTCTCCGATACCTCGGCAAAACATCACCGCGTTCCTCTCTCCATTTACTTTGAGCATTTACTTTAAGTATTTACTTTGAGCAATTCAATACTCGTCTTTACATTCATAGAATTGCTATGCTAGAGTAAGTTTGGAACATAGGTTGCAAGTCTTTTGTGCGTTGATTTAATAGAAACACTTTTTCTAGGCACAAGGGGTTAATTGGGCTATCCGTAGGATTTGATTATTGCAAGAAAATTTAGAATTAGTCCAATTCACCCCCCCCCCCTCCTCTTGGGCATCTTGATCCTTTCAATAGCGTTGTGCGACGGGGGCCCACCAACCATGTAGGGTTGGGCGCCCCCGATCAGGGCGCGAGGACAAGGCCCAGTTAGGCCGTTGGGCCTAACTGGTGGGAGATCAATCCTAACATAGGCCCCTCTGCACCCGCACCAGCCACGGAACTACATCATCCCGACACACGAGCGTACCCCTGTTGGCGGTTTTCGTTTGGGATGATTCGTCTTCCAGCTCCGGTGGTTGTGACGACGACACACAATCTTCTGACAGCATAGCAGCTTGCATAGACGTCCTGTGGACGCGTTGATGCGGCCTGCTGGATCCCTGGTCTTCATCCCACCACCCATTGGAACTCATGGTGAAGTCCACCTAAGACTTGAAGGTAGGAGGATGTTGCGGCGTTGATGCTGGGCAATCGTTCACACCCGCCGCAACATCTTACTCGGACGCCCTGGACCCTGCTGGTGACACAGCTTCAGAATTCCTGCGTACGCGTTGATGCAATGCAATCGTTCACACCTGAAATAATCATCAACCAAAGTACGATATGAAGCTAATAAGTTTCTTTCAAATATAAAAGATATGAAGCTAATAAGTCGTCAGTGAGTATGTTTTCCCTTCTTTACTTTTCGCTCCTTAATTAGAATGTCATGGTGTTCAGCTAAGAGGCGTGCTACTGTTGGGCATCCGACAACCGGTGAACTGAGTGGCTAAGAGACGCCGGCTGAATTGTTAGCATGGGTTATCAGTGCTGGGTCCTGTGGGGACTTTCTGTTAGTGTGACAGCTGTTGGCGGTTAATGCAGCGCGTGATATATAAGCCCTTGTAATGGAATGGATGGAACTGTCGAATAACAGAAACCTGAAACTCTGAACTTCCATTCTGTTCTTCCATTTCTCATCCCATTGTTGTTGCTTTCCTTGTCTTAAACTCCGATTCCACCCAGTATCAGTTACGTTACAATCCGGAAGGTAACACAAAATCGCAAAACCATATGGATAGTGTACGTCCTCCAAATTTTGCTGGGGTGGAAGACAGATTACCATTTGGCCACACACACGCACACACACACACACACAAAAAAAAAAAGAAAGAAAGAGAAGGGGAAAACGGCAAGGGCGGCTCACCAGTCACCAGGCCGCTCGCCCGAGCAACCCAACCCACGGCGGCCAAGAGGAGACAACTCAACACAACTGGCGTCTGGCGGCCATATGGCCCAACAAAGCCACTACCAAGGCACCAAGCGGATCCCTCAAGCATACAACGAGCGAGTGATACACTATCGGACGCTAGCTATATCTATTGTACGCGGGAAGCCGGGGTAGTAGGGTAACTAACCAAGACAGAGAACGGCCGGCAGGCGGCAGACGAACAAAGTGCGGCCCCAGAGTTCGCCGAGGAGAATACTGCAGAGTGAAACTACTAGTAGACTATTCTTCTGAACTCTCAAGTGTGCACAATTGCGCGTCTGCACGCGCACATCCACAGCTCTTGCAAACCATCTTGGTTATACTATTAGGGCCCAAGAGACAACCAGAGCATGAGTTTTCCTCTGCCTACATTCTATACATTATTCAAATTCATAACACATCTCCTCTCTCACAAGACAGACGTCCCATCTGTGTCTCCATACATAGACCTAAGTTAAGCTCAGAGTTTGTGGCCACCACAAGATACGTCGAAGCGAGCATCACGAAACGGACAAACCCTCATCAGTCACAGGTCGAGCTTGCTGGAGAGATACCAGGAGTGCAAGGCCAGGCTGCCGAAGCCCATGATGTTGGCCAGCGACGACAGCCCGTGGATCATCCCGAACTTCCGGTTCATCGCTGCCAGCGCAGGGTTCCTCTTTGCCATCTCTGCGTTCTTCGAGTACCCGACCTCGGTGCCGATGCCGAGGTCCTTCTCCATCTTGTGCCTCTTCATCATCATCTGCGCAAGCAGATAAACAAATAGATAGGAACAAGCGTAGAAAGAGCATTAGTGCTTAACCAACCAAAGGCATATTCTGTCTTCTACCCCATACTTGTCTACTTGAATAGTACAAAGAGTTGTGCTCAATGTAGATTTCAGCGATCAAGATATCTCATTTGTCATGTTTGTTGTCATAAAGCAGAGAAAAAAGGTGACCTTCGAAATTGCATTGTAAATTCTTTACAATCAGATATTCTGAAGGTTCATACACATGGCCAGACATACGTCTATGCTTGTAACAAAAGCTAGATTCTTGCCTCCCAAATCCCAACGCTAGATTGCCCACTAAACAAAACATAGTGGACACTGTTTGAAAAAATAAAAAATAAAAAGAAAATGGCAGGGAAATCAAAGCGTCAACAAGCTGACTGCAATTCTGCAAAACTCATCTTGGTGGTGCCAAGTTTGCAAAGACATTTTTTTGGAAATGGCAAACATCCAAATTTCTGTGATTAGACAAGTTGTCTACTCCTGATTCCCAAAAAGAAAACAAAAAACAAATCTATGCGTTCCTGTATGCACCACAACGAATTAGTACTCAGAAACTGCAGTCATGACCTATATGGCTATATAACAATATAAATCTTCATCAAAGTGTCTTCCCTTTGCCTTACATACCTGAACCAGTGTAGTTAATTTCGAAACTGAAGATAAACAGTAAAAAATTTGCACTCATTAGTCCTGAGATTACCAAATACAGCGTACCCAAACTATAATACCGTGTGTCATTTGGCAAATGCAAAGAGAGGTAAATAAAAAGCTTAAGAGCATGAACAAAGTATATCACCTCAACAGTCATGGGCGTGAAGACCAAAAGGTTGGACAGGTTACATCCAAGGGCTGAAATAAGGAATCCAAGCTGGTAGCGCTCGATGGTTGATGCTGTCTTCCAGGGGTGCAGGTACGCGAATGCTGCCACGGATATCGCTGAACATGCTGATATCAACATGAAGTATGCTGGGAACATTTTCCCCTGCAGACTCCCAAACTGGTGTCTCGGCAAGTACCTTCCGAATTCAAAAAGGATTTTATCAAAACATCATCAAGGTTGACACTGTGTTCTAATAATAAGGGAACAATTGACCCGCACATGGTGCTATTGCAACGAGAACATATATGCTAGGCTTTACTTTTCGAGTGGACTTCTTAGTTCTCACTATAACAAGGTGTTATATTAGCACTGTGTAAAAATTTATTGAAGGTATATTTGAACAGCTGAGCAAAAGGAATTGCTTTTAGACTCTAAGACTGCACTGTATGCTATTCAAAAGTCCTAATATGTAACCAACAAATAAAAAAGCCACTCCACTTACTTGAAAAATGGCAGCGGTGGTGCCAGAACTTTCAGAATGTTTAATGAGAAAACGATGAACAAAGTCATCATAATGTCCACAAGCTTATATCTAATGTTCTAGCACCTAATAGTAAGAACTATCTCGATATGACATAAGAGTACTCCAGACATCCTAATTCGCCTTCCCAACATATCTTCAAGGTGCAAGTCCCATTTTTGCAGTATGATGTTTCAGGACTAATAGTTACCAAATTAAGACGCTGATCCAGTGAATTCGTGAGGAGCAAAGACCCATGCAACTATAAGTCATATAATTCTAAAGAAAGATTCCTACTGGTTCTCATGTTACAACCATAATTCAAAATCAGCATGTGAAGTACTGAGTTTCCCTCAAGGTTCTTCCAAGAATGTGTGATGTGCACGGAAAATATGAAATTGACTTTGAATCGCTGCTGACAGCAGCAGCACATCAAGTTTGGCGTCCAACCCAGTCCATGGAAGGTGTTGAGGCTTGGGTGAAGTACTGAAGTGGCATCAGCAAGGAAGACAGGTGGATCTCATCTCTCCTCGTCTCCCAACCTTCCTCTGACCTGGGGACGGCCCGTGCAAGTGCTGTGGGCGGTGGGTTGTGAAGACTCGGCGCTCCGAGCACGGTGAAGCCGATGCCGGAAAGGGAGGAACGACACGGAGTGGTCGTGGAGGGGAATAAGACATCCCGGTCCGGCGGAAGTCATCACCGTCGCCGTGGTGGTTTTGCAGATAAACACCTAGTTTGGATAGTGATCCACATACTATTTACAGAAAAGCTCCTGGTGTTTTGTCCTTAACCCCCTCATTTAGAGCAAACGATTTTTTTTTTGAAACAGCCCCCTCGCCGGATCCCTGCGCCTGGCGGCGGCTGAGCGAACGCTGGCGCACGCCGACGGCGAGGTAGCGGAGGGCCCGGCCCGGGAGTGATGCTTCGCTTCCTCCTCGAATGAAGCTAGCAGGCAAAAAGCCTCAAGTCCCAGCGAATCGACACGGCAGCGGTAGCGCCTGCTTACTTGAACATGACGATGCCGCCGATGAAGGTGACCCAGAGGCCGGCGCCCCAGGCGGTGGCGAAGGAGAGGACGTGGACCAGCCTCGCGGCCGCCGCGGCGCCGGAGCCGCCGAGGGGCAGCGCGTCGGGCGCGAAGAGGACCCCCGCGGCCAGGAACGACGCCGCCGTCAGGAACCGCGCGGCCCACCCCATCGCGCGTCGCGGCCCTTGGACCGAGCTCCCGACGGGTGCCGCCTGGCCTGCAAGTCGTGGAGAACGGGGGGGGACGGCGGTGCCCGGTGAGGTCGTGCGTGGGAACTGAAATGGGAGCTTGTGAGCTCTGATTTTGAAGAGGACGCCCGCTCCGTTGACCGTTGACGGCCCAGAAACATTCACCTTCCTGAAGCAATACAATATGCCTGCTCCTTTCTTTCTTTCTTTTGTTTCTGAATATATTAAATAATAGATAGTACTCTACTGTACTACATTGCATTTGATTTGTCTTGCCTGACAAATCAAATCATTCTATTTTAAGCCAGAAACTTCAAAGAGCCGGTCATCAGCAAAGAGGACTTTGTTTTTCCTTTTTGATCGATCAGCAAAGAAGACGTGGGAGAAACAACTACTGAATTTTGGTAGAGCCACGGAGCCCATCAAATCCATGGGCGTTGAACCCGCGTGAACCGTGGAGAGAGTGTCGTGCAAGCACAAGCTGTGTGCACCAAAATCTGTGGGCAGTTGGGGCCAAGAGGCCAAGAGGGCGAAGGCACAGGAACTAGTAATAGACTAGAGCAAAGAAACTAGTACTATTCGAGATCAAGGAATGCATACAACTTAGGTGTCGTTTGAATCCCAAAGGGATTGTAGGAATTTGAATTCTAGCTAGAGATTTTAGAATCTAGATTCTAGATAACAAGGTGTCCATGTTGTGCCCACTGCTGATCGACTGTGGTGAATGCCAAGGTGTAGAAAAAGGCTTAGACCTCAAGAGAGAACTTGATTGGGAGCTCTTCCTATGTTCTGTCTGCATCGGTTTGTTGGAGCCAGAGCCATCATGTCTGCAGGGCGATCCCAACTAGCCTAGGATTGGTGACGCTGAGTCCACCTAGCTCCTTTGGTCGGCAAACCGTAGGCCATGCATTGTGCATTTGCCTTGGACTAAACCTTCCTTGTTCAACTAGAGCAATCAGCGACAGATTGCATCGATTTCCTTGGGGACCAAAGGAGGTAGGTTCTCAGTAAGCAAAGTGTATATTGGTACTATGGACAGATCCAATTTCACCCAGACCAAGCTCCTGGCCATCAGCAGGCCACCGACTGCATCTACCGTTGCATGCCCTTGAGCTCAGCAGCAAGCCAAGGTAGTGAATCAAAAAATCTTAGATTTGGCAACCAAGGCTATATCTAATGCCTAGTAGATCGTTCTAGTTTTCGATGATCAGGGTGAGCAAACACTTGCCAAGGTTGGCTCGTAACCTAGAAGAATCTCCAAAAATGTGGAGTATCTCCTTGATCGCCAATGCTACTTGCATGTCAGGGTGGGCAAAGAGAATGACATTGTCGGTGTATGGGTTGCATTAATGTTTGAGTGCCCCCGTTTCCATGACCCTCAGCACCCCATCCGCTCTTGCCTCAGCAAACAGTCTAGTGAGCGCTTTCCATAGACAAGATGAAAAGCATTGGCGACAGGGAGTCACCCTAGCGCACTCCTATCTTTGTCATGAAGTGGTCATGTACATGATAATTGCCATCTGACGGCGCCAACGCTAGCTGAATCCAAATACGTTGGCCAAGAGAAGTGGGTAGGTGGTCATGGATATACAAATATTAATGAACAATTAATTTCCACACGCCATCATGCGGGAGGAGATAAGTTATACGGAGTATGTATAGTTATCTATCACACGGCCACCACGCTTTCTTCGCTATGAGATGTTGAACCAATGCGGATCTAAGGTCGCGCCCTGACTCCCAAGAAGGCTTCCAACCCCTATTTAAGCGCTATGTACCAGTGAGACATTGGGGACACATGGTTTTACTATGTTGCGCGTGAAAAAAGGTTAACTGAACAACAAGACAAGCTAGCAGACGAATCAAACCACTTGGATGATCTGTCCCATGCATTGGCTGCTCACTGCTAGGGTTGCAGTGATCACGCAAGTGCATAGCTATATAATACTCCCTCTATTCTAAATTATAAGTTGTTTTGACTTTTCTTGGTACATAGCTTTTGCTATCATCTAGATATATGCTATGTCTAGATACGTAGCAAAAACTATGTGTCTAGAAAAAACAAAACGACTTATAATTTGGAATGGAGGTAGTAATAGTGAACGAAGTGGCTGAATAGTAAATACCGCCTTGGTGCATAAATGTATGGCACAATTTGATTTGGCGGTCTTTAAAATAGGTTGAACTTAGACAAAATAAAACTCATGTAATATATTATTAATAGTAAGAAATATCATAATGTACACTTTAAAATACAAATATGTTGGTACAACTTTTGTATCAATAGACTCATATGTAATTATCCTAGTTGGTCAAGCGACACAACGCTTTTCAAATTTTGATATGCATGTGTAATTCAGATATCTAAACATAGGGTGCAAGTCATTACACTTCTCCAATATTTCACAAGAAAAAATATGTATGAAAAACAGAAAAGGTTCAACAAATAAAATATATATATAGTCGTATTTATATGATCTTGCTTTGATGCATCACTAGAAGTATTAATTGTATACAAAAAACTATTAATGTTTATGATACCAAATAAACATCACTAGATGAATCACTTCATATATTTTCATAGTAAATCTATTTAAAAATACAAACGTTAATATTATTTTCTAATAATATAGTGAAACTTGAAAAATGTTTGACTCCTTGAAGTGTGAGATATGCAATTATTTGAGGACAGATGAAGTAGCTGTAAATCTCGTAGTTATAGAAGTCAAATAAACTTAAGTTTGACTAAATCTATATAAAAATGCTAAAATTTATAATATCAAATAATTATCATCAGATTAATCACATCATGTATTTTATACTAATCCTAATTAGAGGTACAATGTTGACATTATTTTCTATAGATCTAGTCAAACTTAAGATTTGTTCGACTCCTCGAGGCGCGAGACATGCACTTATTTTGGGACAGATCTAAGGGAGTAAGCTCTACAGAAAATTTGACGTCAGAATATAAATGATACTGTCAAGGAATAAAAGCTATACTCCGCGTCAGATAAGAGGAAAAAGGATTTCTAGGATCATAACCGTAAGCAAGTTATTTTCCGGTGTCAAAGGAATTTGTGTCGACAACATTTGCTCGAGGTCATCTCATGCTTTGCTTTCTCTATGAACTCTCCTCTGTTTTCTCGTGTTATTTTTTCTCCTATATAGATTGAAAAAAACCTTTTTAGACTTTTTTGTAAGGCTGAACGTTGTGGCATTGTCTACTCAGGTGACTTGTCTCGCTTGGACAACTCACCACATTTATCTGAAACTTCGGAGAGCCGATCATCGACAAAGAAGACTTCTTTTTGTTTTCTCTCAACAAAAGAAGATTTCAGTCTTGTATCCATACTAAATTGTTGCATGAACAATAGAAACTGAATTTTGGTGGAGTCACTACTCACTAGAGCCCAAATCCATGGGATTGAAGATATTCAGACAATCAGACCTGGGCAGCAGAGATTTCCTTGCAAAACTGAAGCTGTGCGCACAAAAATCAGTGGGCAGTTGGGCCAAGAGCCCAAGACAAATGAAGGAAGAGCACATGGTTTTGGTCTTTTGGACCACTAGACGAAACAAACCAGTGTTCAGGAATGCACAGCTAATCCCTATGCCATTTTCTCATCAAGCTCAGATGACCGTTTTTTAGCTGCATACCTGGCCTATTCAACCTGAGGCTTTTCGATACAGACACATGTCAGCTTGTAATCTGATCTCCATAAAATGCTTAAATCATGCACGCCTCCTACACTCCAGTCGCCTCAAATCGAAATCGATTTCAGGCGACGCCCGACCGCGTCCGCTCGACTCCCACCCGCGCCCATGCTCTCCCTCTCTCCCCATGCGCCGCCGCTCCTCCCTCTCCCCCCTCCGGCAACCTCCTCCCACCTGCGCCGAGCACCTCCCCCACGTGGCTCCTCCCTCCCTCGATCCCCTCTGGCGGCGGCGGCTCCTCCTCCGCCTCCTCTGTCCCCTCCGGCGGCGGCACAGGTAGCCCCCCCTCCTCCTCCTGGATCTAGGGTTCCGGCAAGCTCACCTCTCTCTCTCTCTCTCTCCCAACTCCGATGGGCTTAGAAAAAGGAGGGGGCCCGGGAAGGTAGGCAGGGCAGGCGATGGGGATGGTGGAGGGCGGTTTAGGGGCCCTGGCGGCGGTGGAGGCGGCCGGGCCAGGTCAGGGCGGGGGAGCTCCGTCGAGGGGGGGTTGTGGAAGGCGGCATGCCATGCACGCTTAGGGCTCTGCCAGAGCTCCGCTGACCACGGAGCTTCTGCCGAGCCCTAAGCGCCGCTCCAAGGGGAGGACGGGGCCGGCGGCGTGAGCGGTCCAACAGAGGCAGGGTCGGGAGAACGGCGGGAGAAAGAAGATGAATAAGAAACAGAGATGGAGCGTTGGATGGAGATCCAACGGCTGCAATCAATCGCCTAAAAAAAAGAAATTTTCAGTCGCCTGTAGGATAGCAAATCCCTAAATGATGACATCAGTAAACATTGGTATCATGGAAGAAACGACATTCTTGTGTCTTCCTTCCATTTCAATCGTTTCTGTTTTCAATCCAACATTTTTGAGTAATCCGATGCCTTCTAACTTGATAGATCTCCATCTCTGCCTTTGCAGAGACAGAAGCAAGCACCGTGGCAATCACAAGCCAATACCCCCCACCCGAAACAACACAACACAATTATTCAGGAACGCCTCTGGATCCTCCTTCCGTTCTATACCCCGAGCTGCTCGACGCCGAGCGTGACCGAGTGCGTGAGCTCGCCGATCATCAGCCTGTGCTCGCCGACGGGGATCCACCGCACGCCGTTCCGGTCCGCGACGCTGAGCCGGTCGCACACGTCGATGCCCATCTCCACGCGCGCCACGCCGCCGGCGGGCACGTGCACCTTCTCGAACGCCACCAGTTGCCGCGCGGGTGCGTCCGCTCCGGGGGCGGCGGTGGATGACGAGGGGGCCGCGTGGTACACGAGCACGGCGTGCG